TCTCTGCTTTACCCTTTCTTCCAAGTATTTGAATTTTGATGCCATAAAACGGGGATGCTAAACCAGTTGTAAGTGTGAAAAACAGTCATATCTTATTTTTTTATCTTTTTGCCATTGTAACTTTGAACGGTCACTAAATCAACTGTTGTAAGTCGAGGACTACCTGTATTAAGTTCCACCCTATTGTACGACTCAGTTTCTTATACAATAGCAGGGTTGGAAGGGGCCTTGGAGGTCTTCTAGTCCAACCCCCTGCCTAGGCAGGAAACCCTATACCGTTCCAGACAAATGGCTATCCAACATCTTCTCAAAGACTTCCAGTGTTTGGACATTCACAACTTCTGGAGGCAACTTCTGTTCCACTGATTAATTGTTCTAACTGTCAGTAAATTTCTACTCAGTTCTAGGTTGCTTCTCTCCTTGATTAGTTTCCACCCATTGCACAATACAAGCACAATAATGATTGTGCTTGTATTTCAAATGTCTGTTTGCTTTCCTAATGATCCTTGATGCAGAATTGGGCTTTTTGCGTTAGTTTAGATGCAGAAAATGGGAGGGAGGGGAAGGAATTGAGGATAGTTAAAGATTTTGAGAACCAGGGAGAAGATCTTGAGAGGAATCAGCAAGAACAGTTATAAAAGCAAAGATTTAGGATTTATCATGCTAAATAAGCCCGGGAAACAAGATAGCAATAGCAATACCACTTCGATTTATATTTTATTTATATTATATTTTATATTATATTATATTATATTTATATTTTATTTTCACAGTGCTTTATGACACACTCTGAGTGGTTTGCAATGTCAGCCTCTTGCCCCCAACAACCTGCTACCTCATTTTACCGACCTCGGAAGGAGGGAAGGCTGAGTCAACCATGATGGAGTCGGGCTTGAACTCCCGGCTGTGGGCAGAGTTTGCCTACATTTATATTGTGTGTGTGAACAGAGTTGGTTCTGGGTATCATTCATATTAATTCAATTCACCATAACAATATTAGTAAGCTCTATCACATTTCTCAAATTTAAGTAGTCCTTATTATATTGTTCAATCATATATATTCAAAAAATACCTAACTCCTCATCTTTATCTCTACCTTCATTTATATCTTCCTTGTTCTATCTAAACATTGTAATCCCTGTTTTGTGACCTTTTGACTAGCAAAATCAATGAGGAAGCCAGATTCACTTAACAACTATGTTATTAATTTAACAACTTCAGTGAATCACGTTACAATGGTGGCAAGAAAGGTCGTAAAATGGGGCAAAGTCCACTTAACACATTTTTCACTTAGCAACATAAATACAGGCAGTCCTTGAGTTACAACCTCAATTGAGCCCCAGATTTATGTTGCTAAGCGAAACATTTGTTAAGTGAATTTTGCCCCATTGTACAACCTTTATTGTCAAAGTTGTTAAGTGCATCACTGCAGTTGTTAAGTTAGTAACACGGTTGTTAAGCGAATCCGACCCCATTGGCCAGAAGTTCACAGAAGTTGATCTCATGACTGCAGGACATTGCAACCGTCATAAATTCGAACCAGTTGCCAAGCCCCTGAATTTTGAACATGTAACCACAGAGCTGCTGAAATGGTCGTAATTGTGGAAAACAATAAGTTGCTTTTTTTTCAATGCCGTTGTAACTTAATAGTCACTAAGTGAACTGTTGTAAGTTGAGGACTACCTATACTGGGCTCAAATGTTGTCATAAGTCGAGGACTACCTGTATAATAGAAAGCAAGCATATTTGCAAAAGGAGACCCACTGTTTCAATGCCAGAAGTCACCGTGGGAAAATAAAATGCTTTATGTACAGTGATTGCTCCAGGGTAAAATTGCTATTCTTCAGATTTTAAAGTATGCAATAAAAGCATATAAGACATTAATAAGATCAGCCTTTGAACCCTTGGAATGGCAATATAGTCCCATTAAAAAAAAAAAATTCTGGAGAACTAGCGGAAAATTACAGACCATTTATCTTATCATTTATTTTGAAATGATACAAATTCTGCTGAATAAGGATCAACAGGCTTCTTTAAAGACAAGGTTTTTCTCATCAAGCTTACCGACTAGCCAATCATTGTTTGAACTCATAACTACATTGCGACAAAGTTTGGCAGCAAAGATTCCCGAGCAGATTTCATAGGTGTGGAATAAGAGTAATAATCCGATTAATTGATAATTTGTTGAACTAGATAAGAAATGGTCAGTTTTCAGTGAAAGGGTGGAGGTCTTCCAAGATTTTTAGTAGTTCTTTCAATTGGTTAATTATCTGGAAATATATTGAGGTGACATTGGGCGCTATCTAACAAGATGAAATTCAATGGGGGGAAAAGTAAGGTTCTACATTTATGCCAGAAAAACAAAATGTACAGGTACAATATATGTGGTACCTTGCTCAATAGTAGTAACTGTGAGAGGGATCTTGGAGTCCTAGTGGACAATCATTGAAATATGAGCCAGCCGTGTGCAGCAGCTGCCAAAAAAGCCAACACAGCTCTAGGCTGCATAAACAGAAGGAGAGAATCAAGATCATGTGTTAATACCACTTTATAATGCCTTGATGAGGCCATACCTGGAATCCTGCATCCAGTTTTGGTTGCCACGATGTAGAAAAGATGTTGAGACTCTAGAAAGAGTGCAGAGAAGAGCAACAAGGATAATTAGAGGACTGGAGACTAAAACATATGAGGAACAGTTGCAGGAACTGGGTATGTCTAGTTTGATGAGAAGAAGGACTAGGGGAGACATGATAGCAGTCTTTTGATATCTCAGGGGCT